GTACGGAATGTGCAGCCAGAGGATATTGAGGAATTCATCCTGATTCTGTCAGGTGTGATAATGACACGGTAGTAATATTAATAGGAAAAGTCCTTATCAGAGATTCAAGCTGAAGAATTTGTGAGTTAAGTAAGTCTGAATTGTCTTTTAAAATGCTCCAGAAAAAGTAATGGTGGAGATGAATGAGACACAACTGGCCACAACTTGCTCACTGTTGAAGCTGGGTAATAGGTACATAGAATTCACTATACCATTCTTAATACTTTTTGCAGGTTTTGAAAAATTTCCATCACAAAAAGTTAAAAACAAAAACTCTTTTTAATCTCTGTAATCTTCTCTTTAATCTCCACTTCCCAGTCCAAGTTCCTGACCCCAATCCGGATTTATCCCCACCTTATCAAATTCTACTCAGTTTGGGGTGGGGGAGGGGAAGGTGTTGAGAATGTTTCTGCCCTGGGCCTCCTCTCTCAACTTTTCTCAATCAGAATTCATCTCTCTCCTGTTTTCTGGAATATCGGGTACCTTTATTTTATCACTCACCATGGCCTGTCCCATCTCTCGGTTAGCTAGGTCCCTATTTATCCCAGAAATGGAATCTTTTATTCAGGAGTTGTCTTCCTCTTATCTGCCACCTCCCTTCAGAGCGGAGCAGAATCAGTGTTTGTTCCACTGAAACTGGCCCCTTCTGCTCCTCAAATATGCCCACTGCTGGGTCTCTGCTCCAGGGCAGAGCCTTCTCCACAGGCCAAGAGTTTCACAGACAAAGGAGAAAAGGCCATTCAGTTCCATAGACATTTGCAGCAAGGATGGTATCTGGGAACAAAGCTACCTCCCAAGGGGCTGACTGCACCATGTGATGGAGTGAGGTGGGACGCCTCCATGTCCATAATCACCTGTAGAGGAGCGTGGGCAGTGCTGGGAGCGGGTGCATGGAGGAGACTCTGGCTTCTCCTGTCATTATTATCCCTCACACCCCTTCAAGGCCAGCCGCCTGCATCACAGAATCAGTGGTAACCCCCTTTGTGTGCCATGTGCATGCCCTTCAGAGCAGGGACAGGCTGCCACCTTCCCCAGGAGCCGACTCCAGCTTCCCTGGGGACTGTTATTCAGGAAGATGTCACACACTCACCCTCCCTGCCCCAAGAGTCCAGGATGGCATTTGCACAGAGCACAGCCTCATGAATGAAAACTCTGACAGAAGAGGGGTCTGCCCACAAAGCAGTGCCCCAGGCCTTTCTCCCTCTAAGTACCAGTGCCAGGGACACTCGGATACCTAGGGACCGTCAGCCCCACCCTGCCCTGGACCCCTAAAATTGGGGTTGCTAAAATTCCAGCTGTGGGTGCGTGGGGAGAAGTTCAGCAGGCCCCCTGGCTGGGTCTCCTTGGGTTCTGAAGCCAAAAGGTGAAGCATGTTGGACTGGCCAAGTGGCGGGGAAGGTAAGTTTTCTCTGATTTCCCGGAAACACTTGGGGGGCATTTCTCAGTTCACTGCTCTTTGTCTTGGATCTTCTTAGTACAAAAAAGGGTCTGTTTATAATGTGTCTAAGTGAAAAATCATTACCAATGACCGGACTTGAACATAAAGAGTACAACTCCACTCCTGTGAGGAAAACCTCCTACGGTTCCGACTAGCTGGGTTACCTTCAGACAGGTTCTGCCCTGTGAGATGCTGTAAGGGTGTCTGGTGGTTCACCTCTGAGGACCTGCATGGTGGCTACTGCCAGAATTCTAAAATAACCCCTTATCCCTCCCTCTTCCCAGTCTCCCTAATTCAAATAATCATCAATGTCTTACTCTTTATTGTATATTATTTCGATGTCCACAAGAAAGTTTCCCCTGAGTTGCTCCATCGGGGCTTCCTTTCCTTAGGAAACCTGGCTGTGTGAGGTCAAGGTCTGTTGACATGGCCAAAGGACCCTTTAATTGGAGCAGTGTCTTATGCCAAATGAGTACTTCACATCCTGGGACAAGGCATCCTTGGAGAGATGATAGATGGGTCATTTGTCCCAATTCTTCCAGGCAGGGCATTGGAACAGCTTTGCCATCTTCTGTGGATTCCAAGATGCTCATTTTTGGATCTCTGAAGTCAGGACTTATCTCCCAATCAATGGCATCATAACATAACTGTCGGTCTGAAGTGAAGGCAGGTGTTCACGCTGCTTCTGCCAGCCGTCAGGTCCGTCAGCCATTGGGGCCACCAGCCTCAGGCTGTCTGACCTAGAGTCTCTGCTTGAGGTTCTTTGGGATCACACTGATTGCACAAATTCACAAAGCTTGAGGACCAGCACCCGGAGCTCTATTCTTAGAGCAGGGTTTGTCATTCGCCTCAAGTGTCAAGATTGAAACTCATGTTCTCTTGCTGTTCCTTTCTTATCCCTTACCCTTAGCATAGGTGTGTCTCTTCGTGTGTGTGTGTGTGTGTGTGAGGGGGGGGGGGGTATCTTTCTTATTTTTGGTACATAAAATAATGATGCGTCTTATATTTGATAGAAACATGGTTTCTTCTATTTTATGAAAAAAGTTTGTTACATTATATGTATTTGAAATGATCCAGCATGCTAATAGAAAAGGAGGTACGACTTTTGAAGAAATGGTTTCATGAGATCAAAGTCTCATGTCTCATCCTAAATCACTTCCCATCTGTGCTGCTCACTAGGCATTTCCCCCCAGCACATCGGGCCATTGACCAGCCTGGCCTCCATCATGGCTCCCCATGACTCTTGGGATAAAGGAGAGCTCTGTGATATGGCAAAGCCTGGCTGGTCCTGCATCCTCTCCAGTCACATCTACACAATCCTCTTATTCTCTCCCCTCCAGCTTTCCTTCTATGTAATTTGAGCTCCCATGCCCCCTCCTACCACAGAGCCATGGCATGAGGGAACAATTCTTTCTCCCTGGTGTGCTTCGCTGATCTCAGCTCAGCATCACCACCTCATGGATGCCTTCCCCCACTAGATCAAACCCCCATTGCAGGCTCTTACAGTAATTCATACTTCTTCCCAGCATATGTCCCAGATTTAGTTCTACATTTCTAGAATGTTCTTGATTAATGTTGGAATCTTTCACTGGACTGCAAACTTTGTTAAGGCAAGAAACATGCCTGTTTTCTCTTAGCTTTGGATCTCCAGTGCCAGACCAAGTAAATATATGGCAGTTGGTAGGTGCTCAGAAACTATGTGAGAATGGGTGGATAGTTGAATCTGCATATCATCTCCTTCAGAAGCAGAGAGAAAACTCCTGAAGCCTGGGGCAGTTAGGGGAAGCAGAAAGGCAACAGACTTCTCGGGATACCTCCACTTTTGCCACAATTATGCCCTTGGGCAAATCACATCCTCTCTGTTTCCTCATCTCCAATCTGGGAATAGCATTTATCCTGCTTCTCTGACAAGGGTATGTTGTAAGTGTATTAAGACACTTGGAAATGATACATCTTTTCCCCCGAAGCTTCTAGCACAGTTCTGGGCCCACACTCAAGCTCTGTCTCTATGAGCCGGATGACGGGGCTCCTCTGGGAAAAGGGTGGTAAGATCACACAGTCCTCGGGGGTATGCTCAAAGCTTGGGGTCAAGAGGGGACCACTGAACTTTGTGCTTTCCAGGCCTAATGTCCACCCTCTTCAAAAATCCTCATGGAGTTTCTCTGACCTTTCAGCACCCGATGCCCTAAGTACGTAAGAAAAGGAACCTTCTTGCTAAGTCCCATTTGGTATTCATTCCCAACACAAGGTTGAGGCCCTTAGCCAGAGGGAGACAGCTGGAGAAGGGTGAGATGCTGCTCTCCTCCTGCTCTGTGGGCAGAGCTTCAGACAGGCTCAGGCTGGACAGGAGCCATGACCACACCCTCTAGGACAAACTTCTCCATCATCTGAAGGTACGAGGCATTCCATCTATACCTGGCGGAATATGTGAGGTTGCTTATTTTACCACTGGGGTCTGAACTTTAATATTAAGATGGATATTTACATCAAAGTCTCGAAATTTCTTCCCATACACCTCATCTTAGAGTCAGGCATCCCGAGTTTCGGTTTCATCTGTATCAACCAGCTATGAATGACCCTGAGTAAATCGTTTTCCCTCTTTGAGTCAGTTTCCTTATCAGATAAATGAAAATAATAGTAACAGCAATAATAATGCCACCGACTTTCCTGCCTTGCAGTTCTTTTAGGGATCAAAGACATAAGGATCAAAGAGATAAGTGCTTGGTAAGAGATGTCAATGCAAATGAGAAGTAATATTTTCTCTGTGCATTTAAAATTCCTCCTTCTGAAGCAGGAAAGCACCAAGCTGACTTACTATTACCCCTGGTTAGCTCAATATTACCCAAGATCTGCATCCCCCAAGGCGTATAGGTGGGAGGTGAAATGTGCACAAATCCATGATTACACATCAGTTACCAAGCACTTCCCCAGAGTCAGCTGTCCTCCCTCCAGAGAAAGACACATTGAAGGGTATTTATTCGCATTTGTTTGAACAGCTTGGCTGCCCTGCCAATCCCCCATCCCAGAAAACCAGGTTGGTGAGAGGAGGTGCAGAATGAACAACTCGCTAGTACCTCTGTGATTCTGGATTCTGGGAAGAGGGTGGAAGTCTATGCTACAGACATACATCCCTGCAGGATAATGCTAGCTGATGCCCAGCAGGGTCGTTGGAACATGCTTCTGCAAGCCATCCAGGAGGCATCACTGACTGGATCCCGGTGCTCAGAGCTCCAAGCCGGCCAAGACTTCTTCGCTGCCTGATCTGCTGCGCAGCTCCGCTAGGGGCTCACTGGCGTCCCGGCAGAACACAGAGCCCAGGCCATCTGTGCTCCCACTCTCCAGCTGGCAGCTGCCCACCAGCTCCTGGATCCATTGTAGGTCTGCTGAGAGCTCCTGCCTCAGAGCTTCAAACTGCACCTGCAGATGGTCCATTCTCCTGGCCACGCTTCTGAGGCTGGACCCCGTGGTCTGGATGTCCTTCCGCAGGAGCCTCTTCAGGGACCCCACTTTGCGGAACTCGTACCTGAGCTGGGACAGGTCGTGCCGGGCACTCTCACTCTCCTCTCGGTACCAAGCTTCCTTCTCATTGAAGATGGAAACCAAAGCTTCCACATCATCCTGGATGGTGTCATGGGCCCCTGCCAGGGCGTGGCATCCCTGGTCTACACAAGCCACATCCTCCATCACGTGAGCAAAGCGCTCAAAGTTGACGTAGGTGTTGTTGGGAGGCATGCTTGAGTGGCATTTGAGGGTGTACTCTCTCAGGCGCTTGGTCTTCAGCTGGGTGGGCTCGGTCTTCCGCTGTTCTGGGGCTCTGACTTCTCCTTTGGACTGGTGATGTTTAGATAAAAGAGCCAGAGTTAATTTGACCGCTGCTCCAAAGGGCAGTCCAAGCTGGAGGCAGAAGAAACACAAGCAGCCTCTGGCATTCACTGCATGCGTCAGGCCATGTGGAGGACCACAGTGGGATGAGCACCCCTACAGACCATCACAAGGCGAGGAACAGGGGTGCTGCCTGCATGCTCACTTCAGGGCAGGTGGCCCTCCGAATTAGAGAGTCTTCACACGCATAGCATTTAGGGGCGCTCACACAGACAGGCAGGCTGCAGCACTTTGCAGGCATCTACTCAAGGCCAGGAGCACGCAAGGCCAGGTCTCACAGTGGGAGGCTGAGTGGACTCTTGCCTTCAGGGCCAATTGGCCTCCTGGACCTTGCAACACTCAAAAGCTGAGCAAGGAGGCAGCCCAAGAGACTCCCTAGCTCTGTGCCTTGAGCCCACCCCAAACCTGAAGGGCCCTTGGCCTTCCTCATCCTTCAGTGAGCACAGGAATCTGACCTTTCTGGAGCACTCCAGCCCTGCCCCTTTGCCCCTCCGCTGTACCCTCAGGTCATCCTTGCCAGCTCTCTCATTTAACAAACAGTTCAAGGGAATTAGAAGTCCTACTATGTCCCTGAGTACACATCTGCTCAGTTAACAGAACTAGTAGGGCCAGAGTCCCAGTCTCCTGATTCCCACCCTCCCAAGGGCTTTTCATAGCACTTTACTGTGACTAGACCACAAAACCCCTGGAAAACCAGCAGCTGGAAGCGCAATTACAAAGAAGGTTAGGCAGCGAGTCGCCTTTGTGCCCCTGTTCTCCCCAAAGGGAATGGAATTCCCCAAAGAGAGCGGCTGCCTCTTCCCACCAGGCCTCCATCTCAGAGCCCCATTCTCTGAGGTCTCACGGTGCCTGGGGAAGGTGACCAAAGGAAGCCTAGTGTCTTCCTTTACTCAGAGCCCCAAAAGTCAGGAGGAGCCCTGGTGACAAAGCTGAGATTTTTCATTGTTACCAATCTCCCTCTATAACTGGGAACAAGAGTGACACATCACCCGACAAAGATGGCCCTAGAGAAAACGGGTTACAACTAAGGGTTGCATTTTATGAGTCACCTAAACCCATGAAATAAAAACATAAACCTATCGAAAGAGGCCCAGAACCTTGGGGCTTTTGTCTGTGTCCATGAGTCAGTATTTCAAGCCACCCCAGCCAGCCCTGGCCACAGAGCGGAGACCTTCCTGCTCGCTGGAGCGTATCGCCATGCCCTTACCGTGATCCAGGGGTGTCGGAGAGCCTCTTGGATTGTGAGCCGTTTCCTGCAATGAGGACCAGAAACAGAGGTGATCCATGAGGACAGAAGCTGAGAGCAACGGTCTTCATTCTTACTCTTCTTAGACTAGCATTTTGGAGTTCTTTATCACTGCCATCAAACCAGAATAATGGGGGACACAGACATGGATGGGGAACTGGCTGAATTTTCTACCCTCTGTAGAGTGACAATACATAACCCTCTTCTTTGGTCCCAATGTGGGAGGACCCAACGCCACACTATAGGAGAGTGCTAAGTGCTCTTTTGAGCTTCCCACTTTCCATTGTTGAACCTTTAGTTTCTGTTTTCCTGTTTGCCTCCCAGAGTCTTCTCAGCTCTGCCATTCACAGTACCCAGGTACTGTGAATGGCCTAGCACTGCCTTAGCTGAGAAATTAGGCTCCCATACTATAGAGGGCCCACTCTGGTTCTCTCCAAAGTCTGTAGGACCAAGAAGCCATAACCTTGTAGAATCTGCAGACCTTACTCCTGCCCCTGGTAGGCAACACTCCGAGCACCTAACTCCCTACAATTCCCTGCCCATCTCCTGCTGTGACCCCACAGCCACAGAGCTCAGCCTGGGTCCTGAAGAAGGGATATGATTACTGTGTCTCCTATTCTCTCACTTTTTGGCCTCTCTGAGCTCACCTCCCCCAACTCCCACCTGAATTGGTTTGAAACCTGCTGCTTTCTTTTTCAAATTCTAGTTCTAGGTGCTTTTGGGACAGATTGCACATAGGGAAACCCAGGCTGACTTCCAAACACACACACAGACACACACATACACTGCATACACACAGCTACACACTGCACACACCACATACAGTTATTTGCATTTCAGCAGGAAAAGAAGCAGAAAGGCTTGAGCAAACAAGATGAATGCCCATCCACACTTCTCAGCACCTGCCCAGGTTAGACCACAATGGCACAGGTGACAGCCCGTGACAAAGTGGGGACAGACTGACATGTCTTGTGGAAGGGCTATAGGTCAGTACCCGAGAAGCCCGTGCCTTCCTCTGTCCTCTTACCGTGTCTCTTTAACCAGAAGCTTCCGAATGAAGTCCTTGGCCAGCTCACTGGTTTGACTGAAGAATTCCTCATCAAAGTCGTAACTCACCGCTGTGATGTTTGCCAGTGTCTCCTGCTTCGTGTCTCCCAGGAAAGGGGATGCTCCACTTAGGCTGAACACACAGAGAGAGAACACATGACTACAGAAAAGTAGATGAATTGGGGGGGATGGATTCAGGGAACCCTGACTCATACTATTGCATGGGGTTGGGAGGCTCCCAGCAACACTGCCTGACCCCTCTGGGCAGCCAGTCAGCAAGCAGCCTTTTCAACTGAGTCCAACTCAATGCACTTTATGGAGCTCTGACTAAGCACTTGACAGAAACTGCATCTTCAGGAGACTGGAAAGAGGAAGGGAGAGAAGCACAGCAGGAAAAAGTAGAATATAATAGAAGGAAGACAAAGGACTGTGGGAGCACAGGAGGAAGGTGAGGCCTAGTGCAGACTTCATGGGAGAGTGGACACTTGTGTCAGTTGCGTTTTGAAGAATGAAGAGGTTGTCAGCAATCAGAGAAGGCAATGGAAACTCTTCTAGGCTAAGGGGGCAATTTGAGCCTGACAGGTGTGGAAGCAGACGGGCCATTAGGGACTATTGTAGAAGTGGGTGTGAGGTTCCCCTGAAAGATTTGAGAAGGAGGTGTCATTTAAGTAGCGACTCCTGAATCTATTGTCCCCTAACACATATGCCAGTTGCTTATGGGAAACCTCTACCTAGAGGTGCCATTTTCCCAGAAGTCACTGTGCCTGAACCTCAATCCTTGAACTCCCTGCCTGGATTAATGATGTTACTTCACAAATGTATCCAAGCTGGAAACATAGGGGTCACCTCTGATTCCTCCTTCCATTTCCTCACTTCAACTAACCGGTCAGAAAGTTTTGTTGGTCAAATATCTCTTGAAAGTCATCTCCATCCACACTGCCGTTTTCTTAGCATAGTGCCCTGGAAAATACTTGATGTTTCAATCTTAGGTTCAGCCTAGATATTGTAAGTTATCAACTTCTCTGATCTACAGTTTTCTTGTCTATAAAATGGAGAAAATTAAGTCCCCACCTCTCATGATTGTTGTGAAGAGTAAATATGTATATAAAATGATCCATACAATCATGGCCCTTAGTAAACATCTGAAATTGGTGGCCATTATTATCTTTGTTGTTAGAACACAAAGAACCTTTTATGGCTACCCATTTTCTATAGGAGTGAATTTCAATCTTTCTCACCTTATGGCACACAAACTAATTACTAAAATTCTGCAGCATACCAAAAAATACATTTTTTGTTGATCTGACAAAAAGTAGGTATAATTCAGGTACTGACCTGTTAAAAATTATAAATGTGATTGGTTTAGTCACACCAGACAGCTCTTATTGTATTGGCTGTTGTAATTTTTTAATTTGACAACCTAATGGAGAGGAGGTCAGTGCCCCTGACTAGTCGGGTATTGCATGTTTTAAAAATGCTTGTGGCACACCAGTTGAAAATTGCTGCTCTCACATCTAAACTCCAGAGCAAGGCATCACGAGTTATTTCCTAACACATTCTTTGTACATTTCACCACATTTAACATGCTGTTTCCTTCCTTAGCAGAAGATTCCTTCCATTTCTTTATACCTGCAGAATTAATCTCACTCTGTATAGTCCAGCTCAAGTCAAGTCAATCAATCAAGCTCCTTTTCCTCCCCCAAGCCCATTAAACCTTCTGAAGCCCCAGCAGACCATTGCCTCTCCCATCTGTGTCTCACAGAGGCGTGTTCATACCTCCACCATAACCTTGGTCCCACTGGGTAAGAGTTAGCTATCTGGAGTCATTCCCCACCCCACCCCAACACAGGGAGCTCCAGACTAACAGGGCAGACTCTCCATCATGTCACTATCCCAAGGGCCTGGCACCATGCCCACCATAAAGCAGGCACTCAAAAAATTGTATGGAACTCAAATGAGCTACAAGAAGTCGATGTGCCCTGTACACACTGGAATTCTTTAACATTTCAATGTGGCACCAGAGTTCTGAAGAAATCAATGTTTCAAGAGCCAGCGTCTGACTATTCTGGCTTTGATTTGGAACTATAGAGCAATGCATCAAATTATCTCTCTTTGCATCAAATTCCTCTGGGGCTTTAAAAATAATTGGTGCCCAGATCCCACCCCTAGTGATTCTAATTTAATAGATCTGGGCTAGGGCCTCGACCATGGTTGGTATCAAAAGGTCTTATGTGCAGTCAGGATTTAGTCCCTCTCTGCAGCTCAAGGGGGTCTCCCACATTGTACAGAGCTCCCAATCCAAGCACTGCTGGTCAGAAAACTAGTTTATGGGGGTGTTGGGAGAATGATCCCTCAGCTGTTGAGTCTGGCTGTGGGCTGACTCTCACCCAGTGTGCCGCAGAAATAGCCTTTTGCAGGTGTGCTGTGAGGGGAAACTGGTAGGGAAGCACTGATGGGATAAACAACCACTAAGCAGCCGTGTACTAGGTGCCAGGAAATTTGCACGTGTCAGCTCATTTAACCCTCACAGCACACCCCTGATGGGAAGTTTGTGATTCCTACTTTTCTGATGAGAAAAACAGGCCCAGAGAGAGAGTTAAGAATCTGCCAAGGCCACAGAGATGGAAAGTGCCAGATCTATTACACACAGAGCAGTGTAGGAAATCTTCTGCTTCAGCGACTTAAAACTTCAGGAGCAGAAAGGAGAGACTCCAGGGAGCAAGGAGGAGGGAGAATGTGAGAGCTGGGGAAAGAAGGGAGGAAGGGAGAGAAGGAGGCAGGATCAGGGAGGGCATAATGACGTGAGAGCTGTCACAAGGCTTCTGAGTGAAAACTGACATTCTCACAGCAAACTGGTCTGGGTGAAGCAGAGAGGTGGGCCCGGCCACGGTGGGGACGCAGACACAGGCTGCACAGTGTGGAGGGCCACAGGCTGCTCTACTGCCCAACCCCAACCCCAGGGTCAAATGTGTGGAATGGAGCTCAGAGGGCTTAGCCTCAGGTTTGCCGTGTGGCTCGAATACATTGATTCATGGCGGGTGCTCAATGTCCATCTGTCTGTCTGTTTGTCCTCTCTCATCCCTCCTGCTTCCCCCAGGTCTAAGCTGGGACACTGGGAATCAGGGATACTCACAGGATGTAGGTGATGACGCCAATGCTCCTGCAAAACAAAGAGCAATCAAGTCAGGGCCTCCTGGCTCTAATCCCAGACCAGCAAGGGACACCCCGCATGGTTCTCAGGGGAAGTGGCCTCTTGCCACTCCATGGCAGCCTTGAATGCTATCTTGAGCCCCACAGTCCTCTCCATCCCACTCTTCAGCAGCACCCAGGGAACAGATGGAGTCATCACTCTCTAGACATTGAGTCTGAGGACCCAAGTTCAGGATCAGACTCCTGCACTTGCAGGCTGTAATTGGGGCAAGTTCCTTAACACTTCTGAGTCTTCCTCATACAGTGAGGACAATGATAACTACCTCACAGGACTGCTGCGAGTATTTTAGAAAACCAACTAATCAAGGGGCTCAGCCAACGAAAAGCACTGTTCAAATGAAGTAAGACCTATCTGTGCAGACAATCAATCACTGCGGTATCCCCAGGCCCATCACAGAGCTACAACACAAGGCTCTGTGTCACTTGGTTGACTGGCTGAAAGAGCTGTTACTACATATTATCTCAATCAAGGCCGTGGCAGGCTTCAGGGGTGGATCCTGGACCTCAGCTTCAGCTCTCCCCTTATTCTCTGCCTCTGCCATGTTCTATCGGCCTCAGCTCTAGGCCTAGCTGCCTCCAGCTGCCCAGGCCTCAGACCCAGCACACCTAGAGCAGCCAGAGGCTCTGAAAGGAGAGTGTGGAGAAAGGGGTTTTTATGGTCAAGAGGGATATCAGCCAGAGCCAGGGTCTGAGGCCTTCTGCCTTTGAGAGGATCCTGAGACCACCTGGGTGGCCTACACAACTTACCACATGTCAGCCTCCAGGCCCAAGGGCTCATAGTTCACAATCTCTGGAGCTGCAAGAAGCCATATGGAGAGTCAGCAGAAGTATGAAAATGAAAGAGATGACTGTAGGGAATTTTAGGGAATTTCGTGCCAAATATCTCTATCCAGAATCCCCACTAAGGAAAATCAGAGCAAAGGAGATAATCCAGCTCTAAGAATTTTGAGGAAGTTAGTTGCCTGTTATCCTGGTAGAAACCTTTTACAAAAAGGCCTTGATTGTGAGGAGGGGGAAAACACAAAGGAATGTCTGGAAAAGGAAATAGAGGGAGGGGAGAGGAAGATGCAAGAAGGGGAAATGAGCCTAGTGACGAGGCCTACTTGAGAACTCTCTGGTGGAAGCCAGTCAGGTCAACACTGGAAGGTGATGGAGAATAAGGCAGAGAGCGAATGCACATTCCTCTGAGTCTGGTCTGAAAGAGGGTACCTCCCACCTGGGTCCAGATGATGAACCTGAGGTCCCTGAGGGGCATTTGGGGAAAGGTGTTGAGGAAGAAGCTGGGCATTGGGGAGTAGGCCAGAGCTATTAAATTTGGAGTCATTGTATAAGTGGAAACAGGAGTTGTGCAAATGCTGCAGTGGCCCGGAGAAGGTTCGGAGTCTAGGGAAGAAGACTCTACTGAAAAGAGGAGACTAAATGCAGCCCAGAGGTCAAGCAGACAAGCACTGGCAAGTGAGTATTGAATTTCACACTCACTGCAGTGCCCAGAGAATGCCCTGAGTGTGGGGAGTGGAGATAAGTGTGTAGACAACTCTTTTAAAAAGGTTGCCTATGAAATGAAGAAGAAAGAGAGGGCAGAGACTAGAGAAGAGAGAAGGATTGGGCCTGTTTCACCACTAATGGAATAAGGTAGGAAGTGGGAAAGGCTAAGATTGTTGATCTAGAACCATGGTCGGCAAACTGCGGCTCACGAGCCACATGCAGCTCTTTGGCCCCTTGAGCGTGGCTCTTCCACAAAATACCACGGCCTGGGCGAGTCTATTTTGAAGAAGTAGCATTAGAAGAAGTTTAAGTTTAAAAAATTTGGCTCTCAAAAGAAATTTCAATCGTTGTACTGTTGATATTTGGCTCAGTTGACTAATGAGTCTGCCGACCACTAACCTAGAACAATATCAAAACCATTGCATCTACAGGGTGTGCCCACTATTCCACCCTCCCACCTCTCCCAACTTGCAGAAACAGGAAGCCATTCTTCTGGCTTTGCTTCTTTTTCAGCTTCATAAAAATGATGGCATACTGCATGTGGTGTCAGTGGTGTCATTTGATGTTTTCCCCTTCACTCAACATTATGCTTCTAGCATCCATTGAAAGATCATCCACGATCTTCCATTTTCTCTAATTAATAATCCATTGTATGGATATACATATATAACTTTTTTTTTTACTTATTCTCTTCTCAGTGATCATTTGGACAGTTTCCACTTCTTTTATTATTAGAACAGCATTCCTATGAACTGATTTTTGTACATGTATCCCGACACACTGTCTAGGACAGTGGTATTCAAAGTGGGTCCACAGACAAATAGTTTGCAAATTGTCACTGGTCCAGACAAGGTAGATACAGAAATTGGGAGTAAGCACTTAGAGACACATACAGCACTTTGACATTCAGTGTGAGAAGCACAACTCATTTTTTGGCACTTATCTCTATTCGACATACTTATGTATCATTTCTATCCTCGATGTGCTTTTGTTTGTCCATTTTATGCTTCTGTCTGTTTTTTTTTTCCTTATTGTTTATACACACACTTATATTTTTATATTTTTATAATGGCTACCTTGAGACTTTATGTCCACCTAACAAATTCTAACGTAAGTCAACATTTTAACCTTCCTCTACTAATATGAACCCTAATTTCAATCATTCTGTCAAATCTAGCATTATTTTTTTCAGTTTTCAGTTGTCCTTTTTTTATTCTCACAATTAAAACTTCATCATTATTTTAAATAGAAAATGTTTATGGTTGCTTAATGTTAACTGATTTATTTGTTCCTATTACTTCTTACATTGAGCTGTCCCTTCAGAGGTCATTTTCCTTAATTCATAAGTATATCCTTTAGAAATTCCATTTAAAAAGGTTTGCTGGTATTTATTTGTTTTGTTTTTGTTGTTTTTTGCTTTGTTTTACCTGAATCTTTTTCCCTCATTTTTTTTTTTTTTAATATAGAATGCTTCACAAATATTCATGTCATCCTTGTGCAGGGGCTATGCTAATCTTCTCTGTATTGTCCCAATTTTAGTATATGTGCTGCCAAAGCAAGCACTAACCTAATTCTTGAAATGCAATTTTCCTGGGTACACAACTATTTTATTTCCCCTCAGCTCTCTGTAGATAATATTCTATTGGACACTGACTTCCATTGTTGTTTTATTTTGTTTTAAATTCTTTATTGTTGAAAGTATTACATATGTCCCCCTTTCCCCCCATTGACCTCTCGCAGCCTGCCTTCATGCCCCTATGGTCTGTGTCCATTGGCTATGCTTATATGCATACAAGTTCTTTGGATGATCTCTTACCCGCCCCCCCAACCTCCCCTGCTCCATGTTGTTTTGAGAAGTATGTTGTCAGTCTAATTACTATTTGTTTCTTGTTTTGTAGGCGATCTATCTTTTCTCTCTGGCTATTTTTTAAGACTTCTTTGTCTTTGGTACTTTAGAGTTTAACTATAATGTTGCTAGGTATGGATTTATTTTCTTTTGTTTTCTGTTTGATGTACACAGTCCTTTCGATTTCAGTTTTTACATCAGGTCTGAAAATTCTCAGCTATTCTTTTCAAATGTTGCCTCTTTATTGTCTCTGTTCTTTCCTCTGAGATTTCAAATAGTCCTATGTTAGGTTTTATTTTTTTAATCATTCTCTTATTCTCTCATATTTCTATGTCTGTCACTTTGTGGTACTCTAACTAATTTTTCCAGCTCAGTATTCCAATTCTTCAAGTCTTTCCTCTGCAGTGTATAATCTGCTGTTTAGTCCATTCATTGAGTTTTAAATTTCTACAATGATAGATTGTATTTCTTAAAGTTCTATCTGGTTCCTTTTAGAATTTGCCTGGTCATTTTTGACGCTCTTTTGTTGTTTGCTCATTCTTGTGATTCTACCTTTTATTTCTATATACATTCCATTTATTTTATAGTCAACATCTGATCATTTTAATACCTTATGTCTTTGAACATTTAAATCTTGCTAGCCTCTGATGGAAATACTGATATGTGTACTTGCTTTTAGGAGCAGTCCTTCTATTGAACTTGCTGCTCACTGATCCAGTTCTAAATTCATTTAATTGGCTTTGAGGTGGGACAGATATGCTAAAGGAGTTACTACCCTTACTCATTTCCAATTTTTTAAAAAATATATTTTTAAGAGCCCCGTTTCATAGTGGGAGAGCTTTTGGATAACTAGGTACACCACACACCAGGAAGTGACAGTAAATTTTTAACCCTGGGTCTCAGGTTGACATTTCAAAGAAATCATGGGAATAAGGAAAATAGTTATAAGCCATTTCTCAGGGGTCTTGGTCATCAAAGTTTGGGTAGGAGCTTAGAGAAGCCACCCTATATATCTCTATCCAGTTTTGGGGCTGGAGCTGGCTCTCATTGTCTCACAAGAGTCAACTATATGCATCTCTTCACAACTCTTATTTCAGTGACATGTTCATGGCTTGAAATTGGAAAATACTAGAAGTTAGGGTTTTGTTTTGAGACCCAGTTGTTAGGCATTTATCAGCATATGATTGGGCAAAACACTCCACAGTTTGGCTCTACTCATGACTATCCCATGTATATAACCAGTCTGTGTGAACTCTCTGTTCCATCTGAGTGAACAGTTAATTGTCCCTGATAAATACACTAATTCTGGCTCTATCCCCCTGCTATGGATGACTAAACCTGGGGTGGGCTCCTCCTCTACTCTGTCTTCTTCCCCACCCTTCTCAGAGACTCCCTCCACCCACAACAGCCCTTGTCCCTCACTGGTTCAAGGCCTTGACTGATCCCATTGACTTTGCTAGATATCTTGTTTGAACAGTCTTTAAGGAACTGCATTCAGAATGACCTACCCAAGGTCACACCATGAACTGGTGGCAGAGCCAGCTTGAACATGGAGCATAAGACATCTATTATTGAACTTTTTCTGAGATAGCAATTACTGCCCACCATTCACATATGTAGTAAAAATGAATGTTTATTTTGTTAAGTCATGACAAGTGTTTAATAACAATAAATGATTCAATTAGAAAGTCAGGGCAATGAGTGGCCATGAGATAGGATGTGATTAATTGCTCTGCCACCAATTCATGCTGTGACCTTGGGTATGTTATTCTGAATGCGGCTCCTTACCATCACTGTGTCTATCCCAAGTCCTCACCTAATATCTCCCATACAAAAGATGAAGAATAACCATTGGTTAACCTTAACTAAAATCTTCCAGCCCTCCAATTCCACATTTGTAAAACTAAACCAGATGATCTGCAAAGAGCCTTCCAGAACTCTTATTTGGTGGCTTGATATCTTGTTTCCACAAAGTGTAAGCTCCTTGGGGCAGGGTCTCTTCAGAGAGGCAATCCAATATAGTGGAAAGAGGATAGATAGGCTTTGATGTTGAATGTATCTGCATTTGAATCTCAGCACCACCACCTACTGGTTGCTTTGCCCTGAACGAAACTCTTGATAGAGGAAATAATTAAATCTGCTTCACAAGGTGGCTTGAGGATTAACTGAGATAATGTCTGTAGAGCACTAGGCACAGTACGTGGCACATGGCAAGGGCCCCTCGCTGGTGGGTCTGTGGGGCCTCTGCAGCACCATGCCATCATGGCTGCACAGCTGGTATGTGTGGCCTAAAAATCCATCAGAGTGAGTGATCTGGCATATTCTGTCTTCTTTTTTATTTAGACTGTGGTCAGGAATTTCAGCCCATGGGTTTTGGGGAGACCATGCCCTTCCTCCATTTTCAAGACCACTCTAACACCCAAAGCAGAGACAGTGATTCTCAACTCTCATTCCTTTCCCCTTTACAAGGCTGTTTCTTTATGAACCCAACCAGCAGCCCAAGGGTTTCTGAGGCCTGGGCCAAGAGTGGGAGAACAGAGGGCAGAGAGAGCCGCCTGGGCCCTGCTGCAGGTGGGCCTCCTGTGCATGAATAAAGGTCAGGCATACAAGAGAGGCGAGTGGGAGGATCTGGCATCCAGCAGATGATTTCCCTTTTTCTTTTCAGAGAAAGTTGAATTTACAGGAATGCAAGAGGGTGAGGTAATTTTAAATCTTCACAACAAACTCACCTAAGAGCAGGAGATGGGACCAGCTCTGGGAAGGTTTAACTCTGCAAAGGCCTGTAGCCCCACCTGGCCTTCCCAAGCCAACCCTGGACCCTCACCCAAAGGCCCAGCAAGACATTTCCTTTCCCACCCACTGGGCTTCTAGGGGGTCTCGAAAGCATCATCTCGTAGACTGGAAGCCGTAGTCCCAGACACCCGGATTGTCACTGGGATTTCTTTACCTTTTGATAATCAGATTCTTAACTGGGAGAGAAATAGCCCTAAAACTCACCAACAAATTCTGGCGTGCCAAAAATGTTCTTAAATTCAACTCCATCTTCTATTTCGTGAGCAAGGCCAAAGTCAATTAGCTTGATGTGTGGAATGGGAATATTCTTGTCTAACAACATAATGTTTTCTGGCTGGAGAATAAAAAAAAAAGGAAAGGAAGAAAAAAAAGACAGTAATTAAAGCCCTGTTTTGTGTTTTTGCTTTGGGGCTGACGTGGAGTTTGGTGTTCTTTTTTCAGAGACTAAAACAACATAAACTATTCTTGTTTTTGTGTCCTCAGTCTTCTCCTGTGAACTCAAAAATAGGCACAGCACTGAAGGCAAGGCCTGGGTTTTACCAAACCTGCTGCTGCTGCTGCTGCTCTCGGCACAACTGGAGACTCTGGTTTTAATACCCTTTCTGTTTCTGAATGGCAGATTCCTTCAATGCAGTGCCTCTGTTTTCTCATCTGTCCAGGGGACCAGGGGGCTACCAGCAGCATTTCCCATAAACAAAACCACTCCCTTGGTTTACACTTGGTTAACTGACCTTTGTCTCTCTGACCACCTCTTTCCTCTAGCAGGTCAGCTTCCTGTTGACAACACTCTTCTCCTCTAGATTGTGGGTGTGGCTCACTAGTCTCTTATCTATGTGCTTAACTAATTTTGGGCCCCAGCAGGGCACATAAAAAAATGGACCTGATTTCCAGGGAAAATATAATGGTTCAAGTTATTTCTAGCAAATGGCTGTCAGATCTGGCAAAACAACGTGGGGGTGCAGAAGTTGGGGGATAGCCCTACTCTGGCCTCACACTCTCTGGCTCCCAGTGAGGCTAGAACAGGCTCTTGAGCCTACCCTTCTCATTCCTACCCATCTGCTCCAAGTACCCAGTGGGCGAGCAGGTTCGTCTGCTTCATTCTTTTTTCCCACTCTCCACCATGACTTTCCTAGACTCCATTGGAAGTGGAACACCCTGGGAACATACATCCACACAAAAACTTGTACACAAATGTCACAGCAGCATATTTATAATAGCCCCAAAGTGGACACAAGTATCCATCAACCGATGAGTAAACAAAATGTGGTGTATCCATATGGTGGAATACTATCTCTCTATATATAAAAGACTAATATGCTAAGTATCCGTTGACCAGTAGCTATGATGCACACTGACCACCAGGGGGCAGATGCTCAATGCAGGAGCTGCTGAGCTGCAGTGACTTGGCAGCGTTGGTTCTCAGGTGACACATCCCGAAACCAGACAGGAGGGAAAACCACTACCTAGTGTCTATATGCTCTTGTTGAGTACAGGGTGGGATATAAAAATTCACTTTCAAGGCCATGCCAGGACCAATGGCTTTCAGCCTTGGGCTAGTCAGCAATGCTGGCTTTGTGGCTGTGCCACACAACAACTAGCATTTGTCATGGGCATTCCCCGCACACCAGCATATTAGGTCCTCACAGCCTCCAAGCTATAGACGGCCAGTGGCCCTATCTAACCAGTGAGGAACCTGGGCCTGGATCCAGGCATTCTGAGCCCCAAGTTGTGCTTTGGGGCCCTCATCTGAGCTAAATGCCCATCAGAATCCCCTGGGGACTGTGTTAAAAATACCAACTGACTAAATCAATTCACTAGGAATGAGACTCCAGATTGAGTCTTAGTTGGAGGGACCCAGTCCTGCAGGCGAGAGCAGTTGGGGGCAAACAGGATGGCAGGGGAGGGCAGTTAGGCATCAATCAGGCTGGCAGGGGAGTGGTTAGAGGGTGATCAGGCTGGCAGGCAGAAGCGGTTAGGGGCAATCAGGAAAGCAGGCAGGTGAGTAGTGGGGATCCAGCAGTCCTGGATTGTGAGAGGAATGTCCGACTGCCCTTACTTGTTAATGTAAACAAAATTTCCTATCAGGATCGGGCCTAAATGGGCAGTCGGACATCCCTTGAGGGGTCCCAGATTGGAAAGGATGCAGGCTGGGCTGAGGAACACACACCCCTGTGCACAAATTTTGTGCAATGGGCCTTTAGTGTAATATTATTTTAATATTAAAAATTAAATTATATAAATTTATATTTAAAACGTATTGCTCCCTAATTTTCATTATATTTTAGTATTGAGGTTGGTTCTACCTTTTACCTTTGTATTGGGGAAATACTACATGATGGTGGGCTCCTACACCCCTCTTCCCAGCTCTAGTCAGTGACATCACGTTGGAATCTTGAAATTGGCCATAGTGGGTGCATTTACACTGTGGAAATTGGCAGAACTACAAAACAGGACTTGATTCATTGTCTTCTTGATTCTAGACTTAAGTGCTGGAGAAGATTAGGTAATCATGCAGATTATACTTAAAAGAGTGCTGTGTCTATAGCCATTGTTTTGTGAATAGCATAGCAAATTAAGGAAGTGTTTTTTCAAAGAATAGTTTATTGATTTTTTAGAGAGAGGAAGTAATTTTTTTTCAATATGGGGAAACTATTATCCAGTTCATCAAGTTACTCATGTCATTGGCAAACAAGTAAACTTCCAGCACATGCCTTCACTGTTTCATTTTTACCTTACTTGTTAATGGAAATAAAACTATCAACCAACGTTCTTGTTGGAACTACACTCCTTTGTCCACTGCACCCGCAGGTTGGCTACTGATGCAACACTGGCAAATTCCAAGGAAAGCTATGAGAATCAATTGGCTCTTTCTGGAATTTACAATAAAAAGCATTATAAATTTATATATAATATATAATTTTATTACAGCAGTGGTGTAATAATAACATAATTTTATTTATTTGTAAATTGTGTTATAAATCTTTATATCATAAATCTAACAATATAAGTGTGTCTGTGTGCGTATATTTGCTTTTTCAGAGAGCTGGCTTCTACCAGAATACCACAGCACAGAATCTCAGTAAAGCAGGTTACAGTCTATGTTTTCCAGATGAGAAACTGAGGAACAGAGAAGTTAAATAACTTACTCAAGGCCAAACAACTAATAAGTAGTGGAGCTAGGGTGGAGCCCAGGTCTTCTCAGTGTCAAGGTACCTGCTCTGTCTACCTCCCTTCACTGCTTCCAGAATCAAGATTCTTTCACTCCCACTGAGATCAGCTATAGTGGGAGGGCTGGTGGTAGAGCTGTGAATAGAACTTTAAAAGTACTGTTTGAACATGTGATATTTCAATGGGGGTCAGGCCTCGCCAGGGATCCAGAGTGGAGGCTGTGGCATCTAAGAATAGCAAGAGGCCTCTGAGCACCTAACATTGATGGCAAAGTCAACAAGGGAAAGAGAAAAAGGGCACTGCAATTCTGTCTTAGGTTCCTCATCTGTAAAATAGGGGCCCTGACCGATCTACTCCAACCATATCAGCCTTACCCAGTGTCCTGCCGCCCTGGGTACCTGCACACCTGCTAGCTAGGAAATGCCCCTTACGCATTTTCCTTTTGGATGCTTCCATGCCTATCTCCCTTCCTGAATACTTCTGGAGGCAAGATAGAAACAGGGAGAAATGTGGCCTTATGGAGAGGCTATTAGCCCTGGCCAGTGTGGCTCAGTTGGTTGGAGCGTTGTCCTGTACACCGAAAGGCTGCGGGTTTAATTCCTGGTCAGAGCACAATCCTGTTATGGGTACCATCTCGGTTGAGGCGTGTACCAGAGGCAACCGATCAATGTTCCTCTCCCATATTGATGTTGTTTTTTCTCTCTCTCCCTTCCTCTCTCTCTCTCAAATCAATAAACATATGCTCCAGTGAGGATTAAGAAAAAAAATTCACAACCAGCACTTGCACAGAGTTTTAGAGTTTGCAGGGCCTTTCATAAACAGTTACCTCCCTGGTCCCTCACTCCACTCTTGTGGGACAGGAAGGAAAGGCAGGTTTATCTCCACTCTCAAGATCAGGAAAGGTCAGAGACGTGACCACCCCAACATTCCCCAGCAGAGGCGAGACTCAAATGCAGGCTCAACCCCCAATCTTCTCCCTGTTCCCCTTCACCACGTGGCCTCCTGCTGTATCTTTCAAGAATCAGCTGGTTGATTTAATGCTCCCATTTCAACTCGTTTAATAACAGCTCTCCATCATTTAGTTTTTGCTACATTTTGTTCTTTTTCTCAACCATTCAGTTCAGTGTCCTAGGTTCACTTGTCCTCAGGTTACCCTCGGGTGGCCTTGCAAGAGTTGATGAAGCAACCAGCATGCATTTCTAGGCTCCAGGCTCACGTCTGATGCAGGGCTGAGACGAAGGGGCCTATGGGGTGCACTCTGAGGCTGGGGCAGGCTAAGCTTTGGGTATGAGGAACTGGAAACAGGTCCACCCCCCAGAACACACTGAGAGGGTAAAAATCAGGAAAGACTTGTATAAAAGCTTCTATAGTGAAGTCAAATACTTCTGAGTACACATGGGCTGCTTAGGTAAGAATGTAAAGGGAAAGAAACAGAGAGGAAATTATGAAAGCATATAGTTCTAAGCACCTGAAAACACACACACACACACACACACACACACACACACACACACACCTGTTCATAAAAAGCTGGAGAAAATGCATTCTTTCACTCCCACTGAGATCAGCTGTAGTGGGAGGGCTGGTGGTGGAGCTGTGAATATGCACCAAATGTTAATAGTGTTGTTTTAGAGTGGAAACTTTGTAGGTAACTTCTCTGTACATTTCTGTATTTTCTATGAGTTATTATTTTTATAATAGCATAAAAGACCATCAACTTCATTTGAAAAGTGTTTATGGGATACCACTGGTTTCTTTCTTTTCCACATCGCTAGTATCATCTTCAATTGGCTTATAGTCTCCCATCCATCCTCTCCCATTCTGGGAGAACTAGAAATAGAACCAAGGAAATGTCTTCTATAAATGATTACTCATTTTCTTAAGTGTGATAATGGTACTGTAGGTTGTTAGGAGACAGACCTTACTTAATCTTTGGAGATACATACAGAAGTATTTAGAATGAAGTATCAGGATGGCTATAGTTTTCTTTCAAATGTTACCAAAAGTTTTTAAAAAATCAGATCTCTCTCTCTCTCTCTCTTTCTCTCTCTCTCTCTCTCTCTCTCTCTCTCTCTCTCTCTCTATATATATATATATATATATATATATATGATATATAAATGTTTTTAAAGACATAAAACGATAAAGCAAGTGTGACCAAATGTT